CCCCAAAACCCCAAAACCCCAAAACCCCAAAACCCCGAGAGTACTTTTTTAACAATTTTATTTATAATTGAAAACAATAATTATAAGTTAAAATAAATAAAATGAAGCTTAATTAGTCAAATGATACTAACCCTTTCTAGTCCATGTATGCTCAATCTTTTGTGGATCATTCCAAGAGAATTAGCAATAAACATAATAATTAAAATCAACTTCAATCACCTAGAAAAAATGGAGTTGGTGAAAGATATCTTGATTAAGCATCCGAGACTAAAAAGTACTTCGATAAACTAATATCTTAATTACAAATTTATAGATCAATGAGCACATCAAGAGTTGGAGCAGGCTAAACTACTTATGATTTGAGAAGGTAAATATATTTTATTATATTTTGAAATTAGATTTGGGCAATATTAAGGACCTCAAATGGGTCCGTTATATGATTAATAATCAGCAGTCAATCAAAGTCTTGAGTTTGGAAAAGGAAACCCTGCTTTATAGACATTTGCTAGCGGTTTCTCAGGTGCAAGTAAGAATTAACTTTATTTATAGAAATAAATTAAAAACTAAATTATTTGTTCGGAATTCAGTTTTAATGATTTTTAGTGTCTTAAGGAAGTCAGTCAGTTGGAAGAAGAACAAGATGTTCAGACAGATTTGTCAAGTATCCATATCCAAAAACAATGATTACTAACTACTAGAAGGAATATCATCAAAAGAATGAGAAGAGTATCCTCATTCCACAAAAAGAAACATTCAATCCAGAAAAAGAGCACAAAATTATAAATCCCCATAAGATGGAATTATCAACGACAAATAAAGTAGCTTACTAGCCATTTGCAGTCCAACCATAGAGAAAGAGTATGCAAAGAGCACCAAAGAGTGACGCTCCAGCTTAGCAATAAAGCTCTTATATGGCCGGCTTCCCTAACTGGAACAATGGACATTAAGATGTTTATCATGAAAAACATCCTTAATATCCATATTATTCTCTTCCTTTTAAGGGATCATCTTCATATTAAAATAGTTTCACTGAAGAATAGATGAGACAACTTAGAAAGCATCAAGAGATGATTGCTTCATTAGGAAAGACATCCTCGTCACTGAAGTAATTTAAATTTTATCATAAAACGTTTCTAGAGTTAATCATTATCAGCCACATCAATTTGACTTTGAGACAACTAATTAATCTGAATATAAGCCATTCAGATTAGCTAACAGACCAATTACCCAAAAGCCTGTGGTAGAGCCTGTTAGAACTAAAGCATTCCCACTTCACTTTGAGACTCAGAATAAGAAGGAATTCGTGCAACACTAAATAAGAGTGCCAGAAATAGATCTCATTCAATATCCATGATCTATTCATTAAGTTTTATATTCTTATTTATGCTTTTTAAGCTCTAAATTCAGTTATAAAAATTCTTTTGGGGTTTTGGGGTTTTGGGGAGATCGGAAGAGCACACGTC